ATTTTATATGCACGCATCGTAACTAGTGTCTACATAACGGCAGTAACAATGACCAATGAAAAAACTTTTCGCTTTATAGAGCCCTACCAAGCCGAAAATTGCCTGTGAAACACAAGTCTTTTAAAAAAAAAAACGTTACCCCCACACTAGGATTTTCTCCTGTATCGTGGAGGCAGTTTAAAAACATAAATTGCATATGGACAAACACCCAGACCCGGAGCAATTATGTACAGGCTATACAAATACTTGTTCCGTGCGGGATTCGAACCCGCGGCCACCAGCGCAGCAACTCATTGCTAAGCCACTACGCCACGGAGCCGTCAAGAAATAAAATTTCTTTTTTTCCATTTCTTTTTGATCAACCTTTTCTTATACAAATTCACGTTGTAGTGATTGAAGTATTAATGTATTTATTGATGTATTAATTGATTTATTGATGTATTAATGCTATGAGACTAGGTAAGATACTAAAATCAAATTAAAAGGTAGGATACTAAAATCATGTTTTTACTGTCTTTATTTCCCTATTAGTTACTTTATTTCGTTAATAATACTGTAATTTTTTGCTATGGAAGAGCGAAGTCACAGGCATTATTTTGCTTACTAGGTGACCTCGATCACTGATCATAATGTAACTTTAATGTTTGATGAAATAAATTATTTATTATTATTATTAAGTTCGCCCTATGCACTACTTTGTGCATGAAAGTGTAAATAAATAAATATATTCTATAATTATATAATAACCCTTTTTAAAAAGGTTTTGTTTAATAAAAATTTTACAACAGTTTCATAGACAGGCTTCGCTTATTTTCCAGGCCTTAGTTAATTATACCTATGCCTAGGTGTGTTAATGTATATATAGTTTATTTATCTGTATAACGTTAGTATATAACAAAGAAATATTAAAAATTTATATTAAAAATATTAAATATTAAAAATAGTGAAAATTAAATAAAAAATAGTGGTATGCTGTGAATAAATAAACCGCGACAGCCGTTAGCGCTTCAATAATTATTTTAATAAATTCGTCCGCACATTGGCCTGATCCGAAGCAAACTGTACGACCTTCCAACGTGTGGACGCGATCACAATTTCTTGGCCAATATCTCTGCCAACACATTCGCCACTATGTTGGCCAACGTGAAGAGTCGCCATAAGAAATAACCGACTGTATTTTTGTGTAATCTATACAAATAAATAAAATTGAAGTATCTGTTTGTAATGTCAAAATAATAGCTTTTCACTAAATGCATATGAAAGTACATATTACTTATAACAAAAACACAATTTTTAAAATTTTTGTCCGTCTTTCTGTCTGTCTGTTTGTTTATTCCAGCTAATCTCCGAAATTGCTGGACCGATTTTGACCGGACTTTCACTGGCAGATAGCTATTTTAAGGAGTGACTTAGGCTACTTTTACTTTAGAAAAAGAATTAGGGTTCCGCGCAAAAAAATTAAAACCTATGAAATCTAATCCAGTAGAATAGAATCAATTAACTATATTAATAATTATTTTGCCAGTATTGGAAAGAAACTGGCAGATGAAATTTCAATAAATTACGTAAGGAATGAGTCAACAACAGCGGATTCGAATTTAATAAATCAGTCTCAATCTTTGGGCTTAAGACCCACCGATCCACTTGAAGTCGAGTGTTTACTGAGTAATCTTAAACATAATTCTGCACCAGGCTACGATGGAATTTCCAATCAGGTGCTTAAATCTACTAAGCACCTGATAATTCCCTCTATTGTGCACATTTGTAACCTTAGTCTTGAATCAGGTATGTTTCCTGATCAGTTCAAAGTTGCTTTGATAAGTCCTATACATAAAGGCGGAGACAGAGACAGTATCAGTAACTATCGTCCCATTTCCATTCTACCAGCCCTATCTAAAGTATTAGAACGTCTATTAAATAATCGTTTAAAATCATATTTTTCTAAATATAACTTACTTTCTGAAAATCAATTTGGTTTTATAAATGGAAAATCTACTGAAGATGCAGTTTTATCTCTAACAGAGTTCATTGTAAAACATGTTGACAGTAATAATAAATGTATTGGAATATTCTTGGACCTCGCAAAGGCGTTCGATACTGTCTCTGTGCCGATACTGTTAGCTAAGATGGAAAAACTAGGTATCAGGGGTACATCTCTGAAGTTGTTTATAAGTTACCTATCAAATAGAACTCAACTTGTAAGAATTGGAAGCCTAACAAGTGAAAAAACTAATATTAATTATGGTGTACCTCAAGGTAGCGTACTTGGCCCTACCTTGTTCCTAATATATGTGAATGATCTATGTGGGCTTAAAATGCGCGGTTGTAAAATTGTTGCCTATGCGGATGATACTGTTCTACTGTTTCATGCACCCTCCTGGCATGAAAGCATTGATTTAGCTCAGATAGGTCTCGAAGAAGTTATGTCATGGTTGAGAAAGAATTTGCTAACCTTGAACATTGATAAGACGAAGTATCTTACTTTTATGAAATCTTCAGTAGGTCAAAATGAACTTGACTCTTATTCTCTTAAAGCACATATGTGTGGTAACTCTTCTTCACTTTTATGTAACTGTCAGACCATAGAGAGAGTGAAATCCATTAGATACTTAGGTGTTACTGTTGATTACCTCTTAAACTGGCAAGAGCATATAATTAAATTAAAAAGTAACATTAGAAAACTAATACCAGTGTTTAAACGTTTAAGACATATTCCAATTGAACTACTCAAAACCATATATAATGCTCTCTGCCATTCGCTATTGTCATACTGTATTACTGCTTGGGGAGGTACTTACAAAACTTATATCTTGCGCACTGAAAGATCTCAAAGAGCTGTGCTGAAAGTTATGCTTTCTAAGCCTTTTAAGTTTCCCACAAGCAAGTTGTTCTCGGAAGTAAATGTGCTTACAGTCCGACAGCTATTTATTTTAAAATCTGTTCTTAAAACACATAAGAATTATAATTGTAACTTAAATTTATTTCAACAGTTAAGAAGAAAAGATCGAATTATACTACCAGACAAATTTCACTCGTCTTATGCTCAAAGACAAATAAACTTTTTGGGTCCTTACCTTTATAAAAAAATTAGCAATATTATAACGATATATACGCTAACGCGTTTTAAATGTAAGCAAGCTCTAACTAAGTTTTTAATGTCTTTATCTTATGAGGAAACTGAAAAATTATTAAATATAGATAGGTGAAACACAAACTCTTAAGGAAATATCACACACTCACACTTTCTTTCTCACACGCACATACACATATACACACACGTAATTACACACTCACAAACACACACACTTATTTACTGCACACTCGCATCTACCTATTAGTATTTTACACATAGTTTAAGCTTATAATATTGGTTAGGATTAATAAATTATTACATACTATAAAACATTTTACTTATTCTCCTTTTGCTTTTTTATTATTATGTTTTTTTTTAAGGAAATGTAATATTATTTGAGTCACAACCCACTAGTTGTAACAATTATTTTTATGTGGAATCTAGAATAAGTTCTTGTAAGAGTTTGCTATAATATCAATAAGTGTGTGAAATATTTATAACATGTCGCTTCTGCCTTGATCTTGTACCACACAACTAATCTTTTAGTACATACAGCCACAATGTTATTGAACCATTTGTCGGATTTTTTACTTAACTAATTGTTTTACGTCTACCCACTTTACATCGTTTATGAATCGTCGTATAAAATGTGTTTTTTTATGATTCTGTTATTCTATTTCGAATGTATTAAAAGGGGAGAGCTTAGCAGCTGTAACACAGGTCTGTGACCTAGCACAGTTGCTAAAGATACCATAATTATAATATTGAATTGGATTAAGTCTTAATTATATAAATATAATAAGGTTTTGTTTTATGTAAAGTGTTTTTGGGATCAATAAATTATTATTATTATTATTATTAATCGTAATAAATTATACGCGGGCGAAGTCGCGGAGAACAGCTAGTAAACAATAAAAAAACCGACGTTAAAAAGGAGGCGGTAATCAATTCGATTTCTTTTTTTTATGTGTATTCATGTATCCCACCTGATTATGAGTAGTGTATTTTATTTATTTATTTAATTTAACAAGTACACTTACGATATACCTAAAGGTATGTTTTATCACAATGACAAATTTATGACATTTTTAGTTGGCTTATAACATCAGATTAATATCAGATTTTTTTTAGAGGGATGATAAACCAGCATACAGTCCAAACCGAATATGTACATTCAAGCAAAACTCTAATTTAATTTTTAACCGACTTCAAAACGGAGGAGGTAAAACAGGTCAATACGACTGTATGTTTTTTTATGTGTACCTCATAGCTTTTTCTGGGTGAACAGATTTCGATGATTCTTCTTTTATTTGAAAGCTGGTGCTTCTCATGTGGTCCCATTTATATAGAAGTCGGTTGTACAATTCTTTTAATTTTTAATTATATGAAGATAAACTTGGCTGTTTAACATGTTATTTGGACGCATATTTTAAGATGTAATTAAAAATTAAAATAACTAAATACTCGGCTCGGCGCGTGAACGATGCATTACCAGAGCCGACCGACGAGAACCGAGAGAAACAATAAATTTTAATACCACACGAAAATGTTACATAAACGTGGTAGAGCCATGCTGCAGCTATATTAGTAGTATAGTTGTACCACGAATGGGTCGGCTCGACCGGGGAAGGACCACGCTCTCACAGAATAACAGCGTAAAATAGCAGCTTAACACTGCTGTGTTTCGTATGGTGAGTGCAGAGAACCGGAGACCCTTTTTACTGGAAAAGAGGCATTTCGTCTTAGTCCTCACGGGTGACCACGCATCTGCATTTTGATTCGCAAACGAGGATAGATGTAGATGTCTATGGGCCACAGCAACCACTTACCATCAGGTGGACTGTGTGCTCGTTTGTCACCCTATCCTATAAAAAAAAACATAAAATGAATATGTGGAATTTCTTAGTCAAGCAAAAATACATCTTACATCGAACTTAGACGCAATGAACAACGCCGAAGCGCCCAGCAGCTGTAGCTCTTCCTTTGTCAAATGATCTTTTTCCGGTTGCGTTTTTGTAGACCTTGTAAAGAATAAGTCTACCAGCTTCACAGCTAGGTATAAGGTCTCGTGGTTTAATTCGAAGCTTTCTTGAACTTCAACCATCCAGTCTACGAGGAGTGCGCGCATCCATGAGGTGATGCCTTTCATCCGTTGAAGATAGTCATCAATAGGGAAAAGCCGCTAAAATGTTGAAAAAGTATAATGTTAATGTTTATTTTATTCACTCAAAAACTAGATTTTTAATAATAAAAGCACTCCGATACATTTAAGTCAGTCAGTTTGACTGCCCTTATAGGACTAGTGGTCGTGTGGCGAATCCAAGGTCCGATCAAAATCAGGTATATATTTTTTCTTTCAAGAATTTCTTAGTAGCATCATAGAGACAGGAAGTCGACAGTGATTTAACCCTGTGCCTCGGAAAGCACTAAGCCGTTGGTTCTGCTCCTAAAAATCTCTCCTATCATGTCAGATTGCCATATCATAGGCCTTGGGACTGTGAGAATAAAGGAATACAGAGAGCATCTGAGTTTGCACACACACTCATACAATAAAATCTTGTCATACGTCGATGACCAGTCTCTGTTGAAACTTGCCGCCGTGACAGAAATTAGATCCGGAGAACATTATAGTTGTTACGTTAAGACAGTATGATTTACCATCTAAGGCTGCATCATCACTTACCACCAGGTGGGATGCTTGTCAAGCACTGGCTTATAATAAGTAAAAAAAAAGTTACTACTACTTCTACTGTAATTTTTTGGGGGTTTTATACCTAAATTGCATATGGATAAACACCCAAATCCGGAACAACCGGAATACTTTTGCGGGAATTGAATCTGCGGCCACATAATATGATAGTGGTAAAGAAGTAGGCGACAAAATGTAGAAAACATTACGACTAACTTTTTTTAACACTTTCAAGCTCTTACTTGTGAATTCGTTTACGCGGAATTTGTGTTAGTATTAAGTAGGTCTTATACTCGCTGCGGTCAAGCAAAGAAACTAACGGGGAGACATTTTTACATCTATACTATTACAAAATGTAGGTAACACAAAATATAATACAGTGGGACCCATTAGATGCTGGCGAAATAAGAAATTCGACATATGTATGTACGCTATACTGTAATTTACTAGAAATCATGACTTCTTCGCATTTATCAGTTTAATCTTACCACACGGAATATAAGAATACCACCGTCAAATAGTGTTTCGTATGGTGAGTGTAGAGAACCGAACAGCGTTTTGATTTGCAAACGAAGATAAATGTAGATGTCTATGAGCCACAGCAACCACTTACCATCAGGTGGACTGTGTGCTCGTTTGTCACTCGATCCTACATAAATATATATATATATATATATATATATATATATATATATATATATATATACATATATATACTTTATATATAAAGTATGAATACAATAGCTAATGATAAAAATAAATAAAAACAATTTTAAATACTGATTTACAGCATCCTCGACGGTAAAAGAAAACCGACATCTTAAAAATAAAACATTGCGAGGGCATACTAAGTCCGCCACCAAGCACTGGAGCCGTGTATTACACTAACTACTCTTAAGCCCTCTCAGAAATGCGAGAACACTAGCGATTTCAGGGAGGCTCTGCTGACAGCTGTGGGGCATATTAAGGCTTGTAACTTTATGTAAATAATAGAACGAAATAAGTTAGTAATAATCTCTCTCTCTCACCTCTCTGCTCCTCAAGTAATTGAAGATGTCCATCGCATAGTGCGATACTTGGAATGGATCATTCCAGTTTTCCTTGTCGAAATCAACAATGCCATCGGGCACCCGGTGGGGGCTCTCAGTCTCTTCATCTAAGGATCGGTTCACAGAGTCATCCAAGTTCACTTTATTCAGCTTTTCACTGATCGTTTTGCATTCTTCCTTTGTAACGTCAATTGGACTTCTAGAATGTTAAAAGTTTCTTGTTGGAATATCAAATGTAATAAATTTGAAGTAAAACTTCTTCAGGCGCGACTTGAGGATAACTCAGATCTTTGTTCGGACGGAAGTTCGTTCAATACCAATTACCCAGTTTTTACTGTTATATTTACTTGTAATTGTAGGGCTGTAGTTTTCTTTAAGAAACAAAATAAACAAACCTTTACGCGCGGTTAACCGATTCGTTGCGGCACCGATTTTCGACAACTTCTAGCTGTGGCGGCGAACATATATTTCATCGCCACAGAAGTTGATGACACGCCTATTTTGCCATCAGCCATGTGTAAAAATAATTTTCTTTTTATGCTTTTTTCACTTGTTTAAACCTAATTAAGTTTAGTTGACATCAAACATCAGCTACAAACGGAAGGATATTTGTTTTTAGTGGGTAAGTATGTGGTCTTCTACGTGTTTTCTTTGAAATTGAGAGTAAGTGACTTTTTTTATGCAGAGATTACAAACCTTTTGTACTATTTTTTGTTTTATAAAAAAATCATTTATATAAGTAAATCACCCTGGAAAACCTTGGTTTTTATTAAATTAAATTTTCACCTAATAATAACATTTGTAAATATCAAACAATCAAGTACCTTAATATGGAAAAAAATAAGGTTTATGATTCATTGATATTTACTAATGTTAAATATTATTTAATGTTATACAAATGTAAAAGTAAAGTGTAAAACGTCTAATTAGTAAGAATAGCAAAACAAGTGCTTTCAAAAGGAAAAAAACGCCGGCGCTATACGGCGGTGGATTGACTAAAGACTATTTATTAGCGAACTTTTTATGCATGAACGGTTCGAACAATTTCAAACAAAAATAAACCTAATACCATATCACAAGAGCACATGGTACTTCGTAGGTTTATTCGGTCATATGATAGTAATAAGACGGCAGTTCAACCATTTTAAGCAAAATTAATAAGACAAACGCACTGTTTTTTTTTAACAGGAGACTTGTTTTCCAGAAATTTATAGCAACTTGAGTCTGTGAGCGATCACAATGAGTGCTATTATTTGTTACTTATTAGACTATTTTTTCAGAACATGATTTAAAACCCACAAAGTAAAAAGAGTACCATGTACAAGTAAAAAAAATGATTGTCAACCACTAAAAATTTCAAATTTTCAAAATATCCAACTGTAGGCATGAACTACTTGCAAAATAATGAATATTTTGTTTTGGATAAATCTTCCAAAAACGCAATTTGAGCGAGTTATAACGATTTTTTAAAAGATGACTCGCGTGTCATACTCCACACAAATACATACTCCACATAAAATATGGCACGTCTGGCGTGCCATCCGCACTGAACCGGTTATAGTAAAACTTATTGATATTATATTATCTATAAAAATTAAAGTGTCTGTTTGTAATGTCAAAATTACAGCTTTTTACTAAATGCATATGAAAGTATATACGGTACTAATAACAGAAATACTGATTTAAATTTTTTGTCTGTCTGTCTGTTTGTTCCGGCTAATCTTCGTAACGGCTGGACCGGTTTTGACGGGATTTACACTGGCAGATAGCTGATATCATAAACTAACTTAGGCTACTTTTATTTTAGAAAAAGAATTAGGGTTCCGCTCAAAAAAATTATAACCCCAAATAACACGCGCGCGAAGTCGCCGGGAACAGCTAGTTTGAAATAAATAATAATATTTATTTCTATGACATGATATAATATTTATGTACAATCACATGCGTCGTGTAGTGGCAGCGTAAGAGAATCCACTAATTCATACCATTCCGTGGGTGTTTTAAGAGCCGACCGATGGAAATGTAACTCGAGATTGGCACTGGCAACTTCATAATAACCGAAAATAATAAAAAGCAGTGGTTACCAACCCATCTGCCTGGTGACGCAATTATGCCAAATATCCCCCTTTTGAGGCAATCTATGGAGGCCTATTTTGAGCTGTGGACCTTTGATAAGTAAGATAAGTTGAAAGTAAGATGGATATGTTGACGTTAGGAATAATAATTGTTATAATCAGATACAGTAGACAACCCTGTGTTTTAACTGCGAAACTTAACATCGTCGGTTTGAATCCATGTTTTTGACCACAGTCAGGACCTATCTTCATGAACATGAAGATTCAACTGAAATAGAATAAATTAGATACCCATATAATGACCAAACCGGTCTGTTTTTATAATTAATATAATAATATAATAGTTTAAAATAAATATTGTAAAAGTAGAACAAAAATCAATGAAAAGTTGATGGTAATTACAAGTAATGATGGTATCACTGCTAGAATTTAAAATTCTAGCATGTTTTTATTAACGACTAGCTATCCGCCCCGGTTTCGCACGATTGATTTCTGGATCTCGACAAACAACGCCACTTATCAGGTCCAATTGTGAATCTAAACCATTCTGTAATCAACTTAATCACACACAAAATTTCATCAAAATCGGTCCTGCCGTTTGGGAGTTCAGTCACATACATACGAACAGAAGTATTATATAATATATAATATGCATGCATTATACATATTATAAACCTTCCTCTTAAATAATTCTGTCTATTGATGAAAAACGCATCAAAATCCGTTGCGTGGTTTAAAATTTCTAGGCGTACAGACAGCGACTTTTTTTATACTATGTAGAGAAACGGTTATCTAAGCGAATTTCGGTCTTTGTTGAAGGTAGGAATTATCAATGGCATCATAAAAATGTTTTGAAAAGCTGTCTTAGTCCGACCACATACATACGGAATTCCGTTTCAGGATTCCGAATAGGTCGGCCTGATTTTGATGAAACTTTACAAACACAGATAGAGAGCAATACCAGGAGGGATCTAGATTATATTTTACTAAAAAAATTGAAGATTAATTCGATTCGAGATAAATTCGAAGACGATGCTGAAACATAATGTATCGAAGATTTAAAACCTCGACTTCAGAAGCTTTTACGTTGGTTACCCTTTTCGGTGCACTAAGCAATGAAAAGTCTTCTAAATTTTTTCTTCAAATCTAAATGGTAGCATAGAACAGAGGTTCCCAAACTTTTGAACGTAATGGAACACTCACTCGCCTTTTATTTTATGGAACCCCACATCAAATTATTACATATCATAGACAGTGCAATTAAGATAGTTATTTTTATCACATATTTTGCACCAATAATAATATAACAAGCAATAATAAATAATTTCGCGGAACCCTGGTGACATTTCCACGGGATCCTTAGGTTCCGCGGAACCCACTTAAGGAATCTCAGTCCTAGAAGTATAATTTATTGAATAAAAAAGCATTATACGAACTGTTTCTACAGTTCCAGAGAAATCGGTGAACATAACAAGGAGTGGAATAATTTACCGGCGACTTTCTGTCTTTCCATCCGAATACAATCCGGGCGTCTTCAAGGCAAGATTGAATAGACTTTTGCTACGGCTAAGACAGTGCGCTTTACCATCTAGGGCTACATCACCACTTACCACCAGGTAGGATTGTGTTCAAACACTGGCTTATATTAAGTAAAAAAGAACACCTAAAAACATACGCGACGAATATAGAACCTCTTCCTTTTTTAAAGTAGATTAGAGTAACTAATAGTATCATCAAATATCACAGATGTAAAATATCTTAATCAATACTTTAAATTTTCGTTCGTATATTTCCACGAAAATTCTTTCGTGAAATGAATTCTAATTTAAAATTAAAACCGAGACTAATTACAAACGTATTGTACGCGCAAGATCTTTAGTCTCACAAAGCTACCGACAGGTTAGTTTGTTGTTAAAAACCCCTTGCAAACTTGAAAAAGATATTAAACTTGACCTGATATTTGTAAGAAACATCCAAATATAACCGGATGCAAAAAGGCCTTTGCTCGATAGTAAAAACCCGCGAAAGAACTGCAAAACATGTTTCAAGTAATCTCTGATAACGATGTGTAACGGACAATTTTAAAGTCCAGCTGTTAAGTAATTATGTAAATGATTTTTTTCTGAACAGACACCGACCTCGCGTAGACAAAGCTATGGTCAGACATTTCATAAAAAATGTGTACATGTATTAACAAGCTTAAAGATACGTAATTCTGGTTTGCTATACCTGATCTAGAACCACGAACCGATTATTAGGCTGTTGCAACCTCATGGGATGAGACGATTATTCAACGTGGTAGAGACACGCTGTAGCTATGTTGTGGATGCAGCACGAATGGCTCAGCTCGACTGGGAAAGGACCACGTCCTCACACAATACCAGCGTAAAATAGAAGCTTAATGTGGCTATGTTTCGTATTGTGGGTGTAGAGAACTGGAGATCCTTTTACTGATAACGAGGCACCTATTTCAGTCCTTTAGGGACAGTGACAACGCATCTACATTTTGAATCTTAATCGAGAATCGATGTAGGTGTACGGGTCACAGCATTCACCTTCCATCAGGTGGACAGTTTGCTGTTTTCGACACTTGCCTAAAAATTTTATAATACTTGTAAACCTGGTTTGATCTCGATCGGACATAACATTTTTCATAACAGTTTCTAGATCCTGTCCGCAGAGATCGTGATCCTTGTCGATTTTAACGCCCATCACGCCGGATGGTTCGGTTCACATTTAACCGATCATGCGGGGAGATTTGTTTATGACTTTGCCTTGGCATATGGTCTTCTTACACAGCTGGTTAATTTGTCTACGCAGATTCCAGATGTGGAGAATCATGCACCTTCCCTGTTGGAACTTCAGCTGACCTCTCCTCATCCGGTCGGATATCAGGTTTCCGTCGACACCCCTCATTGCTTCTAGGGCCATTGTCTTGTCCGGAGGGTGGTGTCATTCACACTATCGTCGCGGTTGCATTCTGCCGCCGTGTTTGGCACTATAGGTCGGCCGATTGGGATAGGATGAGGTCTTTTTTTTGCATTCTACCCTTGAGGGCGGGTTTGCTTCTCACCGGACGATCATAGCGTTGTTGCTGATTCTGTCATTGATGTGGTACTTCAGG